AGTTCTTGAAATAATTATTTTAGATATCTGACCCCAGCTGGCACTGCGGGCTTCGCTCCTCACTGGGACGAGATCGACGCATTTCTGCTACAACTTGAAGGGAAAAAGTATTGGAAGGTGTATGCACCGGACTCGAGTGACGATGAATTGCCATTGGAGCCTAGCGGTGAGAAGTATCTGAACTGCTCGTCTTAGGTACCAGAGATGTTTTAGGTCGTTCAGAAAACTTTAACGACAATGATATGAAGGGTCGCAAGCCAACTTTTGAAGGATGGATCGAGGCTGGAGATTTGTTGTACATTCCTCGAGGGTTTATACATCAGGTAGAGGCGTCTCCTAATTAGAACTATTAAGGATACTCTTTTGATTGGATTTATTTGAGAAACCTTTTTTTTTCAAGGGTTCTACCGCAGATGATGCACATTCTTTTCACCTAACAATTTCTAGTGGAAGACAATGGTCATTCGCAAATCTTATGGAAAAATTGGTATGTTATCTATATAAAATATGACCTCTTCGTGAGTAGTGTGGTTCAGCTAGAATCAAATGTCTCAAAAAGTTATTATGTCGTCACATCATATCTTCCCAGGTTCCTGAAGCAATAAAAGGTTTGACGGCTAATCGCTGGAAAATGCGGAAGTCGCTACCTGTTGGAATGCTGGATATGGGAGGAGTGGCTGGAATTGACTACCGTATGGAGGAACATTTTCAAGAGAAGTAGGTTTTGTGAAGCGGGGCGACAATTCATTTTGGACCCATGCCCAACTTGCGCAAAAGCTAGACATCCGCTCCGTATCAAATGTGAGAGATCGAGAAATGGCGTACCTTCTATCACGAAACCTTGAATTCCAGAAAAAAATGTCATAAATTTTAGATGATAAGAGAAGCGTTAGTAACAGGAAGAGGGGAGGATAAGGAGTTGTATGTCTTGAATCCAGAAAATCTTTAACCAGTAATCTGAATTCAAGACAAAGATCGTCATGTAGTAGTTGCTATAAGATACTCTCTCTTAGCGTGCTTTCCTGGCTTGTAGAGTTTTTGAGTGAACTAAACTTAAGAATTTCAATGGCTATTAATTATAACGCGAAAGCATAAGTTGTAGTTCAATAGCATCCTCACTGGCACGAGGCGACAGTTGATACAACATTATATGCGTATCTGTCCGTGAT